TCTATGAGCATGATTCATTAAATGTGTTAATAAAGACCCAAGGTGGTGCTACATGCCAGCTTAGTACCAGTGCTCTATGCATTTTGATTTTTGAGAAGATTTTTTTATTGCATGTACACTTAATGATACAAAAGTGTTTTATGTAACTTTTAAAGAGGTCTTCTTTACTTGGCAAGGTTATATTTTGACTATCTAAGCTCTAGGCATTACAGTTTGTTTGTTTGTTGATTTTTTTTAATAACATCAACAACAAAACAACTTCAATGCGATTCCCTACACAAGTCTTTAAAAACTGTGTTCCTCGTGAGGGCCTTTAAATCATGTTCCTGCAGTCCAAAATGGCTTTCCCTGTCACTTAGTTTACATTGACTTATATATTAAAATTCTTCTCCGAAACTATGTGCACAGAGAAGAGAAAATATCGTATATCATAACATTGTGATGCTATATAAAGATTATAAACTATTGGCATAGGGTCAAAATCACTTAGTTTACATGGACTCTTATTGGAATATAGTTATATGAGTCTTCTTGTAGTTCTGAGAGCCTAGTTATTGGACATGATTCTTTAAATCATGACTGGTGAAAAAAAGATACTCCTTATATGATTTTAGCATTCTTCAGTATAAAAGAATTATAGACCTTTTCCAGCAGTGGGTCTTAGGCGCGTGATCTAGGGTCAACAATGCTCTCTTGTTTTATGGGAAAAATAAAGTAGAGACACATTTAGTTTATATTCATTTTAGCACACCTAGTCATTAGATAATATGATGTATCAGTCGCCTAAATTTTTGTTTCTTTTGAAAATATCATGTCTACATAAGTTATTAGAAATGGACGGTACTTATTCAATTATACTTGGTTACAATGATGCGCAAGTAAATATAACTTTGAATCATTCTGTTACAAGCTTTTAGCAAGACTAAATTGTGCAGTAAATAATTGTATTCATAAATAGACAACATTTCACTAAGGTCCAGGCATGATTTTATCTAACATATGGTTCGTTGATGAATATTCAGTCTTCTTTCTGTACAATTATCAAGTTATATTATGACTATTGAAACAACTTATATCATGCAAACACATTTAATAACTGAATGTATACATATGATTGTATCTGCATTTATTGATATTTTAGTACACCCTCTAGACCTGAAGGAAAACAAAAATACCTTAATACAATAAAATACTTTTACAGTGAATATTTGCATAAGAATTCTTAAAAAAAACGTTATTTTGTACTACAATTGTCTGATAAATTTACCCCACATAGACCTAGAAAACCATGTTAGACAAAAGAAAAAAAAATGGCACTTTTTCTTTGATTTTTTTTTAAAGATTTTTTTTGCACAAAAAACTAAAAACATGACTAACAATGTGGTTAACCTAAAATTTGATATTTTTTCTAATATATTTTACAATTTTATATGGAAATACGCATACCGTGTGCAAAAAATTATACTACAAAAGAGATATATCAGTTTTCATTAAAATTGGCAGCCATATTGGACGCCATCTTGGATTCTGAAGAAATATGCAAGAGAAATTGCTTAAAGATTTAAATTTTTGAAAAGGGGAAACTATATGCATGCTTTGGTGTAAGTTTCAGGTCTGTACAAAAAATTGGAATGAATGATCTATTATGTACATCAAATTTATATGGCGGCCATCTTGAAAATGGCGGCCATTTTGAATGAGCAGAGATATTTTTGGGCCCACTTCACTTTTAAAATCTACATGGTCTAAAGATAATTTCCTGAAAGTTTCATGCTTGTATCACAATTTGCACTATTTTGACAGCAGAGACTTATTTCCCGCCCCACTAGAATACTCCACCGTCGCTGCGGTAGACCCACCGTTTCTGCGATAGCTATGGCCAGTGTGTTTTTATGGTATATAAATTGACACACTTAATTTTGATTAACTATTCTTTAAACTTGTGAACAGCAGAAAATATTTAAAAAATCCCTTTTATATAACCAAGTACATGTAAAAGCAATGATGAAGGGCTAAACATAGTACTTTAAGTTTGCGACTTCTTGTTGTGTGACTTTTATTCTATTGCTGTGCGATGAGGATTGATCATATCTAAAAATAAGTGACCTGGTCTACAAAAGAAGATACTTGACTAATTATACCAATCAAATTGGTTTTATAGCTTGACAATTACACAATTGCTATTGGCAATTGTTTGATCTATGTTCTGTCCAAAATCTGCACTGTCCGAAATTCTGTAATAAAATATTTCGAACTGAAAAGTAGAAAACGGTATAGAATATTGAAAGAATTATTTGCTAATCTGACTACAGATGTGACAGGAGTTATATTAAACGTCGGTTGTACTAAAATGAAAGTAATATAACTAACCATAGCCAGGGTTATCATTAAGAGGCGACCAAATCTTAGCTACGACCGGGCGTACGACCGTTGATAAAACGACACCCTGGACTGTTAATGACCCAATTGTTTTACAACCAAATGAGTAAAAAGATGTTGGCCAGATATACCATCCTAAAAATACTCCTTTTCAAATTTCACAGTATTGTATTTATTATAAATGTTTACTGTCACTTTTCGATTTTCACAATGGACAATTTAGTACAGTTGATGTTAGGTAGCACTCCACAGTTAATTTCAAGTTCCTGCCGTCAATGTCCTACAAGCAATACGTCTAATAATTCTGATACTAAACTACACAACCTGGAAAAAGAAAACACATTTTGTTGAGAACATATATGACATAAGATTGCAAATCTACAAAGAAATTATCCCACCTGCAATAGGCAGGCAGTCAAAAAATTTGCAACTCATTCCGTTGAAGCCCAAAATCTACAGTGGCCCGAGACCCAAAACAACACATTTCGACCCTCTGGCAAAAAATATCTGCAAATATACAGGCTAAAGGAACACCGTCTCTGCTTTAGCAACTCCCTATACATGCAAAATATCACAAAGAAACTAGTCCTCAACCAGGTAGATTTTTTGCTACTGCTAAAAGTTTGTACCCCCCTGTAAAATGACTTCTTTTTACCGTGCATGCTGTATAAAAGCAATGTTTACAAAAAATGGCGGCCTTGACATTCATAATCAACAGCCTGTGATTTCTGGCCATGTTTTCGAATTTGCCAGTGATCATATTAGATGTCACAAAAACAAATTTTATGCTGAAAATGCATTTTAAAGACAACCAGTCATTTAAATCCAGAATATTCACTATATCCAAGAAATCCTCCCTGGCCATTCGAAGCTGTGGCTTACATTACTGTGGTGTGCTACCTTATTTTTTGTAGAAGTTGATGTCGAGCATGCGCATAACAATGTTTGTAGGCTGGTTCTATTGATTTTAGGCTGTAAATGAGATTCATTAAACTTAACTTGATACGCAAAAAAGGATGCCACCAGCGATCAACCCAGTGGAGAGGTCTGGTCATCATCATCATCATGTTTATCATTAGCATCATCATCATCAACATCATCAGTATTGGACTCATCCTCACCAGTATCGAACGAGTAACCTTTACCATGTGATTTGTTCTCCGTAATTTTATCCATACTCTTTTGTTTTCTTAGCATAATTTCTTGACAATTTTCACCCTAAAAAATTTCACTACGTAAATGATCTTTTACCAAAGTGCTCGATTTCACGTCTGTCACCAAATAACCGTATGGTCTAGATGCCGCTTGTTCAGAACATTTCATGTAAACGGCACTTGATTAGAGATAAGATCTTTTCGCCAAAATTGTCACCCGTTGCCTGTCTGTACCCTACAGGCTTAATTTTTCCTTTAGGAAATAAATTCTCGGTGATATGTTTCTGTGATAACTACCTTTTGAATAAAGATTGGTGAATCTTTGGTCACATTTTGCTTCTGTCTTCAAAACATCAAACACTAGATTGATGTACTCGGAATTATTTAAGTAGTCTAGAATACCTTGAACAAATTCTATCCTGGGAATTGTACGCTGAAGTTCATCATGCAGAGTTTGCCACAGTCCAAAACGCCTTCTAATTCGTTCAGGTGATTGATGAATAAGGTTAGATAAAAGCAATATTCTTTTCTATTCCGTTTTACCACTGCCGCTAGGTCATGAAACAACCATAGTAAATGAGTGCCGAAATATCATCTTTTCTGAACTGTCCCGAGGAGCTGTTTTGTGAGAATATAAATGTTGAACAGCGTTATCACTTGTAAGGACATTATCATGATGGTGGTGAGTCAAATAAATAGACAAATGTGTCGGCGGCAGTGGTTGTGGTGGTAGTATTTAGACAGATAAAGTATATATAAAGGGAGATAATTAAATTCAATACATATCTGTCTAAATTAATTGTATCCTACGGATCTACTTGATCTTACGTGATCCAGTTGACTTTCGGAAATAGATATATAGTTCTCTGATCCCAATCAGTGAAGAAGACAATAAAAATGTCATCGTTGATTTGTGAGATATGTTAACAGAGAACAAACTCTATATATGTGAATGTTGAGCTTGTTTCAATGTGTAGTGCAGTTTGTGACTGTATATAAAGCTGTTCTGAAACCATCATTTGGTGATGGTGGATGAGCAGTGGCTATGCTTTCATGACTGTTCTGCTAGGCGCTGTGCCGTAATTGGACTGGCATATCGATGTGGTGGTATGTGTGTATATATTCTCTCATTTCTATCAATTTATCTGCACACTTGTATCTTAAGTGATCCCACGCAGGGAAAGTATAACTGTATTGAATTTAATTATATATATATATATATATATATATATATATATATATATATATATATATATATATATAGGTCAAGTTTGTGCCTGTCTGTCTATTAATTATATTACTATGACAATAATTGTTGTTTGAGCTATTCTTGTGTATTAATACTTTTTAATTCATAAAATCATTTAGCTAATACCCTTAAAAGTTAAATATAAAATTCATGATAATAACTTTCCTTTATTACAATACTTTGAAGGAGTCTGTACACCTGGAAATTCCAGACTGCTTATTAAATTGGTAAGATCAATATTATATCACATAGGCATTTAAACCATACAATTTCATTCCTGTTTTCTATATCAATAGCAATATTCCTATTTTAACCTATTAATAAAAAATTAATAATAAGGCCATAGCTATTATAATTCAATGTCGCATAATGTAGTAATTAGTCATTGATATACAAATACATGTATAAGAAAAACCTTATTTGTCGATGACTGGAGTATAAATAATTACCTCAACTAACTGTTAATAATGTTAAACAAATTGATTTTTATTATAATGTGTTATTAACATGTTCTCAGATCGATCAGTAGTATGCATCTTTATACTTTATACTCATTATTCTTTATTCATGTTTATTACTCCATTATGTCATGTTTGTACATGGAATGAGAGAAAAAATGTTTTTTTCACTTAACTTTGACTTGACTTTGACTTTATATCTATAAGTATTTACTCGTTCGAGCAGAGAAAAAATATTAAAAAATAAACAACATAAGACATGTTATAAAAATGCGCGGAAGGAAAACATTTAAAACTCGCAAGGTATCCTTAATTGTACTTTTGTGCTTGGAATCAAGCAAATAATGATGGACTCAGAGTAATAAGTAAATTTAATTGAATTTCTATCAATTCACTAGTATCATAGAAATCACAAATGTAATTATTTATCCTCAGAATATAGTACACATTGCGGAACTATATATTTGATATTAACTTTCTTCATTTGTTCAACAAAAGTTCTATTCTTAAGCCATATGTGGTACCAATGGTGAGTCGTAAATGTATATTTCCTGTGTTTTCGAACATTCCTTCTACTTTTGTATTCAATACAACCCCGTTGTCGAAGGTATGATAGTGTCTGTACTCCTCCACAAAGGCGTGTAAGAACTCCAGTCTTAGTTGTATATATAGGATCTATCTTATCCATAAAATATTGTGAATTTGGTACGTAAACGGATTTTTTGTCATTTTCTTTCATTTCTCCTTTATAGAAATATGGAGAATTACTGCTCCAATCCGTTTTGTTTCCATTAACCGATTCATTTGTTATATGATTGTACTGAATAAACTTTTCGGTGACATAAATAGGACCTGTCACCATGACTGGATTTCCCTTCGGACTTGCATTACGCAGTCCTAACAAAAGCAGTTTAATAAACGGGTGTTTTGGGCGGCAACCCATGAAGGCATTGTTTATCACGAATTCTCTGTGGTATAAGAAAGAACTGTGTTCAAATGGTTCAACAGGAAAAATACACGCATATTTCATTGTTGTTCTGTTGAGAGATCGGAAATTATGCATGTCAAAATCTGCATAAAATCCACCGTACTCGTACAACACGGCATAACGGAGCAAATCTGAACGTTTTACACCATTCCCGAGAGTGTTAAATGCTTTCACAAGGTATGGGTTGTGTTTTTGAAGAAACTGGCGTCCCGAGGCGTCCGTCCAAAATCGATATTCCCATGTGGGATTGTATTCGATAAATGATTTGATATGTTCAATATAAACATCAGGAATCATTTCATCTTCGTAAATTTGATGTAAAATATGAGGAATTCTAAGGACTCTACCGTCTGATGTAGGGAACTCTTCTGGAGTTGCTGACTGAAACAATGGAAATACTTTTGCAAACAATAACGTTTTATTATTTGGTTTGTTTGGCGGTATGTGTTCTTCTGATACATCATTTTCATCGCCTTGGTATTTTTGAATCTTGTTTCTTTTCATGTTCATTTGATTCCGTGCCATATCCTCAAATGATCTTTTGGTTGTTGTCCGCATACTTCCTTGGTTGCTGTTTGCATGATGTGACATAAACAACAAAGTCTTGCGGTTTGAAGTGTCTCCGCTCCAAGCTAATTCTGAAAACAGACATGAATATAAAGGTATTTGATAAATCATTATAATGTTTAAAATTAAAGATGACGACAGCTTCAACATTTTAATTCCTAAAAAACCTTCGGCCCATGCAAATATCTTATATACATTGTACAAACACAAACAGTTTAATAGAGTTATGCCCCCGTGTTAAAAAAATAAACATGTCTTTACATTCAATGATCTATAGTAATTGTGTTAGATATTCTGTGATCGAATCCACTTATTACATTTCGAATTCGACTTAATCCGAGCATATGCAGTCGAAGCACATTTTTACCAAACATAGTAAAGATAATAAGTTCAGAGATATGAAAATCATTTTAAAAAAATGAATGTTTGTAAGTTCAACACGAAGTTATAAAACGAGTGGCATTAATTTAATAGCGCAACAACGTAAATAAATTATTCTCTTAATCACATTCCAAGAACGGATTATAGTATAAACCATTTTTTCCCATAGACTTGTTTATACTGCAATGCTAACATTTAGAGCGAAATGCGTTGTGATCATACATAAATCATATAATGGTGAAAGTTATTCCGAGCTTTATGTGAAAATTTAAATAAATGTATTTTACCGTGTCATAGCTTGTTTGTTTGTGTTTCCCGGTCATTTGGTAACCGTACAAATCGCAAAAACCAACTATCTGCCAATAATGCTTGAAGGCCCATTAAGCCTAAAAAATTATATCTTTTTTTTTTCAATATTCTCTTTTTACTTAAATTTTCTTCTTATTACTTTATTTTCCAATTGGCACTTAGTATAGCAGTAGGGAATTAGTATTGCGTATGGAAGTCAAAATACCACATTGTTTACAAAGTGCTTCCTTAATCACAAATCATTTCACATAAAGCGCAATATTTCCAAGGATCTGACATGTTCTTAATCAATTATTTTTTACATTACTAAACACATTTAGCCTTTCTGCAGAAAAAAATTCAATGTGCCTTAAAATCTCTTTATTCCTTTTAAGAGATAAAAGTATCCAATTACAGGTCAGTCAAAAAGTAGTTCATGAAATATAAAGTAAAGTTTAACATTTGCTTACCTTTCTTCAATGGATTAGACATCCATAAACCAATGAAAAACGAAGATCCTGATGCTATTACTATAAGAAACATAACACGGAATCTTTTTTTCACACCACACCATTTTGGAAACATTCTTATCCGAAAATGTATCACCTAGATTTGTTTGCTTCTCCAATGTGTAAAAGCTGAATAATCACGCATATTACGCAATACATGTATTACGGATTTTGCGTATTGAACACCTAAAAATAGATTTATTTTTAAAGATTTGATTTGTAATTTAAAAAATCGCGGCGGTGACTTATACCAACTATTCTTTTTTAGTGATAGATAATTACGAAATATGCATTGGTATGCATATTTATCAATGCAAGCAAGTTTCATATTACAATGTCTATAATGTATTGTAAATAAAGAATGTTATCGATTATATCAAAACAAGTTCATTGATTTTTTTTTTCCAAATAATGTATAAAGAAATATAAATGTCGAATATTATTATTAAGCTACATCAAAATTATTAGATATCTTCACATTTAAAAAATTAGAGCACACTAAAATTTGTTGAATGGTAATTGATAAACTATGATGGCTGATTTGTGCCATTCGTACGTGTTTTCGTTAAACTTCGACCCGCGTCCCCGGTAATTAGCGTGTTTTCGCTCCGCGCCCTCGCCAATCTAACTTGTTGATTCTCGACTTTTTGCTTGGCGGGGTAGCGGGGCGAAAACACGAATGGCACAAATCAGCCACCATATAAAGCAGCCGGCCATCAGTCATTCGCAAAACCGGCGGTCTCTGCCAGTCTCAAAAATACGAAAAACGTCGACCTGAGGAGACCATCGATTAGTAAGTTACAACAAAAATCAACGGTTTCGTGATTATACATGAACTTAATTGATATATACATGTATGACATGAAAAAAAGTAAAATGAAAAATAAAGGTTTGTTAAATTTAGCCGGCTAATTAATTATTTTAAGCAAATTCACTAGCTATGACGATACTTTATTAGAGACTTTCATAACAGAATATAAAGCTCCATGAGTTAATTAATGTCAATATTTTTGGTTGATGTGGAAAGTGACAAATAGAATAAAAATGATTTTTTAATTAATACGTTAATTTATACTGTGGATTATTAATTATAGTTATAGATTACCAAATTTACCATAGATATATGCTAGCTTTTATTGTTTAAATTTTAAAATGTTTTATTTCTTAATTCAGCCTTAGGGAATGTTAATAAAGTCACGAATGCATTTATTTCACTAAAACTTATAACATGCAGTTTTCATATTTTCATCTTTAAATAGATTATCATTGATATCCCGATTGAGTCGGGATTTAGCTTTTAAATCCTATACCTGATATTTTGAGTACGGTATAGGACAGGTTTTAGACTGCTTGTGATCATGGTCATTTTAACGCTTTCAAAATAAACACGATTTTTAGTTTCATTTTACAATTATACTTTCTACGATTTCTCTTCTAAAATGAGTGGAAGAGACAAAGAAAAACGATCAGAAATACCTCACGAGCTTAGAGGGAAAGTTGCTGCTTTTGACAGTTCTTTAAATAACGTTGAAAATGAATTTGAACCTTTGTTAAAACTTTCACAAATCGAGCTAAATGCAAAGGTAATTAGATCTAATTTTATTTTGAACACTGTTAAGAACAGTCTTATTCTATTTTGCATTTTTTGATTAGAGGCTGTCGTATATTTCAGGAGTAAAACATTAATATCAGAAACTAAAAAAAACAAAACGGAATAGACATGTTAAAGGCTACTTGAAGTTCCCCTTTTTTTAGGACATATCAGATCACAGTTACACAGAAACATAAAGCAATCTACTGAATTAGACCCCAAGTAAAACTAAATAATACACTATACAATACACTTAAGAAAACAGAATGAAGCAATCATTTTTATACTCCTGGTTTAGACCTGTCTGAATAAGTCAATAACAACCTAGACTGGGGCGTCTGAATAACAACCAAGACTGGGGCCAACATATGCATACCATTTGCAACAAAGCCAACCATACCATTGGCTTCCTGCGTAGAAACTTTAACTTTGCCTCTGCTTCCACGAAAGAAACGGCTACAAAGTTCTAGTCCGGGACAGTCCCACAGTGGAGTATGCAAGCACTGTTTGAGACCCCCACAAGAAGGGAGACATCCACTGTCTAGACATGGTCCAACGACGAGCTACATTGTATGTCAAGAACAAGTATCACAGGTCCAGCTCCAGCCAGACTGATCATGACTCATGTTCTACAATGTTATCAACAACAAGGGCACTCTAAACACTTCCAACTTATTCCTTCCAAAGACGGGAATAGCCTCCCTCCGGATGCTATGTCAGCCGGTACAGTTGAGTCGTTCCATACTCATCTGTCCCAACTTTTTATCTAAACCACAATCTTGTCCGTTTTTAACCTGCACTGTATATAGTAAATATTCCTCACTATTTTACTCTTTCTTTCCCTCTTGTGCATAAACCTGGCAGTAAACTACAGTTAGTTTAAGGTGGCCAGTATACTGGAAGAAGAAGCAGACCCCGGGTTCTATTCAATTATTACATAATGTACGGTTAAAAGTCAGTTTAACAAATAAAAATGTCATTTCATAAAATTAATATTATTAAATTAAATTATAGACTGTGATATAAACATATAAGTTATGACATCTTTAAAAATTACCAAAAAATTACAGATAAGATTGTGACTACAACAAGCCAGAAACATAATGACTAAGATAAAAAAAAAATGCTTGACTAAATTCAGGTAGGTAGATAATATATTCCACGTTTAGACCCCTGTGTCTTTGACAGCGGGGATTTTTCTCTCTTAATTGGGAATAGTTCTTAGCTGCTTGATTTTGAAAAGAATGTTACTAAAATTGCAAATTTGGGAAGATAAAAAGCTGATGTTAGTTCCTGTCAAAAATTATCAAGAGATGTGAAACAGGAGCATTTTGTGTTTTTATTCTGTTTGAGCATGCATGTGTCTTAAATGGCAAACATTGTATAATTATGTTCTCAGATTTTAATTTTTACTTTAACTTATTTTATAGATACTTTTTTCAGTTATCTAACTTGGAGAAAGCGAAGTTGGACCTTGTTGCTGCTTACTCAATCAACTCATTATTTTGGAGTAAGTGTACTTAATCATTTGATCAGTAAAATAAATTCTCTGAATTTGAAATATGACATTCTGACATGCCTATATGCCACCAGTATTGTATTTTCATCATTTTATGACACATAAACATAAAAATAAGATTTTTAAAATTTATTATTAAGACTTTTAGTATTTAATATCGAGGTGTTTTTTTTCTTTCAGTGTATTTGAATGTATGTGGTGTTAATCCAAAGGATCATGGAATAAAACAAGAACTAGTAAGTGATATTTTACTGTTTAGATAGGTGAGAGTAACATTATGGTGTACTGTTTTAGGCTTCCATTCAGTTACGTGAAATAATTTATTGTAGAATCTGTATTACTTCCTTAAGTTGAACAATTTTGTTTTTTGTTGGGTTTAAAGTACACAAAAGTTGTAAAACTTTATTTGGTAACTTTCCAACTTTTATGATGAAGGAAGACCCTTGGGTTCCCCTCAGAGCATTTATAGTTAGGGCTTTTTTCCTTCTATTACACAGGGCCTTCAATCTCAAGTGTGTCTGTTTGACCCTTGAAATGACTCTTTGACCCTTCAAATTTCCAAAAGGCCTGATTTGACCCTCATGATTGATTTTAATTGGAGGGTCAAATTTTGTTAAAATCATAGGGATTTTTGCCTTGTAGTTGGTAAAACTTAGTCTTAAATGACCCTCAGGATTCCCTAGCTAGTGAACACCCTGAATCTATAGTAGACGAGAAAAATACGAAAGACGTGATTTTGATTATGAAGGACTATCTGTTAAGTGATAGCAGAAATTCCTTTCTATAGGCTAGTCTGAGCTGGGTTAGTGGATATTTTAGATATGAAATGGAAAAATGATGATGTCAAAATAAAAGATATTATTCTCCTGGTCATTGGTTGAATGCTTGCTACCGGTCGTTTTCTTAGTGTGAAGTAATGGTTACGTATTCACTTAGCTGCTAAGGGTTCCTGAAATGTAAAATTTACTAAAATGTCTTTTTCTTATTTTATTGACTTTCAAAATTTGCATAGTAATGTTGTTAGAAGAAGTGCTATTGAGAAAATAGCAATCATTATCATTATTCTTTGCTCTTCTTGTTCTTCTAGAACAGCTGTTTTGATAACAAAGAATACAAAATTTGAGCCGCATCACGACAAAACCAACATAGTGCGTTTGCGACCAGCATGGATCTAGACCAGCCTGCGATCAGGATCCATGCTGCGCAGCATCTCTACTTGTTATAGGGTTTGTAAGGGAACAGCATGGATCCTGATCAGACTGCCCTGATGCGCAGGCTGGTCTGGATCCATGCTGGTTGCAAAAGCACTATGTTGGTTTTTGTCATGACGCGGCTCATTTATACCTAGAATCAATTTAAGGGCTTGTGAGATAGCTAAGGAATTTGTCAGAATTGAGTTCTGAAAAATAGTCATAAACACTGTGATATATGTCATAGTATTAATTAATTTGTTCAGGACCGGATTAGAAGTTACATGAACCGTGTAAAAGAGATTCAAGATAAAGAGAAGGCTCCGAAGATAGACGTCAGTGCATCAAAGAGGATGGTTAAAAGTGCGCTGTGGCAGGCAGCACAAAATCAACAACAAACAGCTGGTAATTTATATAGGATGTTTATTTATTATTGGGTGCCCGCTGTTGCCTGAAATAATGTATAGAGGGACACCTGTGGTCTTCCTCCACCGTATGACCTCAGCTCTATTGTGGCGTTGCGATGCAAATCCCTACTAAAAATATATATACTGTAAAATCATATTATTCGTTGGGCACGAATTTTCGTTGTTTTCGTGGGAAGGTCAATCCACGAATTTAAGATCCGACGAACTTTTATCCCAACAAATACTTCTTACCCTGTCTCTGTTCTATATATTACAAACATGGGTCGGCTCTTTTCCGGCCGATATTTTGTGAAATAGATGTAAGTACAGACAGATAACCAGGTTAGTGACATATTAAATCTGTTTGCAATATTTAAGAAACTTAAAAGTAACACGATTATATGTCCTCAATTTACTGTCACAAATGTAGCATATACATACTTGATCGTTGTAGTCTACTGGGACTTGATTGTGTTAACAAGAATACTTGACATAAACAAGTAAATATGGGAACCCAGGCAGTGCAATAATAAGCGCTTATAAAAATTGTCAGTTTGCTCTTATTAAGGTATTAGCACCCTAATGCATTACCTCCGCGTTGAAGAGTATTCAAATAGGCTAGAACTACTGTTAACTACATTGAAAATGAGGGCCATGGGTTCAATCCCCAGATGGGTCAACTTTTTTTTCTTTCTTTTTTTTTCTTTTAACATTATTTATGTATCTCTCATGTCTCATTTGGAAAGAAAAAAGTGTTTAATTTTGATTTTTTAATTTATATAGGTATTTATTGGCTAAATTATGCTAAATCTAGTAATAAATATGGTACCTTATATGTTCAAAGTGTAATATAATCAGAACTAGACGGTAAAAGTATTTCATATTTCACAAGATCAACCAATATACTTTTTAAAAATTTAGGGAAACTTTGAAAACAGGCACTCATTTGGGTAAATTTTAAGAATTTTTTTAATTAGGCTCCCTAAGTAGAAAAATGGTCAGACACGTGGTAAAAATGGGTGGGGTAGGGTAACATTTTTTACAAGATTTCATAAATTTTAAGTAGAAACCATAATTTTGCTTATGTGGATTGTTAGCTGAATGGTACTATTTGTTTCTTACCATAAATTGAAGGGAAAACATTTTTATTAGAAAGTTATTGCAGATTATTTAAAGGTTCCTTATTTCTAAAAAGGGCCCTCTTAACATCCTAGCTTGAGTTCAGAAAAGTGGCCATAACTTGATTTCCGTACGGTAAACTTTGTTTAAATTTTGCATACAGGTGTACTTTAAGGTATACATCTGACCTATGATGTCAATTTTTTAGTTCCTTATAGTGCCCATTAGGGTCCTAATACCTTAATTTAAAAAAAAGTCTTTGATATTAATGTCGTAAGTACACAAAACTATAAAAAAAAATAAGATCGCTAAAACAGATTTATTGTACTTTCTTTGGTAGTTTTTAAATGATCCAGTTTATATGAATTTTAATCAGTATTTGTGCGAATGATATTCCGTAAACATCAAAGATGCCACAGACTTTTACAAGATCCACATATACTCGTGTTATTTACCGAGAATAATTTATATGCGTGTAAATTTACACAGTCGCTGTGACGTTGGGTGTAGTTACTGTCAAATATGTTAAGTGTAAACTTTTAAACTCGCTGGTTAATACGTGCCAGGTGTCGTATAAATTATGCGATGTTTACATCGGCAAATTACAGGGACAGAGTGTCCAATGGAGGTGCATATCATGTCACATTAATGTGTTAATTGCAGTCAATTATCGGCAGTAACTGTGCTATATTAGAGTTATGCCCAGAGGCAAGGATTAAATTTATTGACAACCGCTGTGTGACAAGTAAAGATATGTACATGTTGTAAGTAAAAATGTTCGGCGATTAAGATTACTTTGCATTAGGTTACTGATTTTTTTTTTAGCTCACCTGACCACGAGGTGGTCATGGTGAGGTATAGTGATGGGGCTATGTCCGGCGTCCGTCGTCGTGCGTTGTGCGTCGTGCGTTGTGCGTCGTTCGTCGTCAACAATTGGGTTGTTAACAGTCTAGCAGTCACAGTTTTGATTGGATCATCATCAAACTTTGTCAGAATGTTTGTCTCAATGAAATACAGATCGAGTTCGAAGATGGGTTATCTCGGGTCAAAAACTAGGTCACAGGAGCTAAAAATAGAAAAAGCTTGTTAACACTCTAGAGGCTGCAGTTTTCATCCAAATATTCTGGAAATTTGTCAGGAAGGCTGTTTTGATGATATCTAGGTCAAGTTCGAAGATGGGTCATCTCCGGTCAAAAACTAGGTCACAGGAGCTAAAAATAGAAAAAGCTTGTTAACACTCTAACAATTGGGTTGTTAACAGTCTAGCAGTCACAGTTTTGATTGGATCATCATCAAACTTTGTCAGAATGTTTGTCTCAATGAAATACAGATCGAGTTCGAAGATGGGTTATCTCGGGTCAAAAACTAGGTCACAGGAGCTAAAAATAGAAAAAGCTTGTTAACACTCTAGAGGCTGCAGTTTTCATCCAAATATTCTGGAAATTTGTCAGGAAGGTTGTTTTGATGATATCTTGGTCAAGGTTGAAGATGGGTCATCTCTGGTCAAAAACTAGGTCACGAGCTAAAAATAGAAAAAGCTTGTTAACACTCTAATAATTGGGTTGTTAACAGTCTAGCAGTCACAGTTTTGATTGAATCATCATCAAACTTTGTCAGAATGTTTGTCTCAATGAAATACAGATCGAGTTCGAAGATGGGTTATCTCGGGTCAAAAACTAGGTCACAGGAGCTAAAAATAGAAAAAGCTTGTTAACACTCTAGAGGCTGCAGTTTTCATCCAAATATTCTGGAAATTTGTCAGGAAGGTTGTTTTAATGATATCTAGGTCAAGTTCGAAGATGGGTCATCTCCGGTCAAAAACTAGGTCACAGGAGCTAAAAATAGAAAAAGCTTGTTAACACTCTAGTGGCTGCAGTTTTCATCCAAATATTCTGGAAATTTGTCAGGAAAGTTGTTTTGATGGTTTCTAGGTCAAGTTAAAAGATGGGCCATCTCCGGTCAAAAACTAGGTCACAGGAGCTAAAAATAGAAAAAGCTTGTTAACACTCTATAGGCTGCAGTTTTCATCCAAATATTCTGGAAATTTGTCAGGAAGGTTGTTTAAATGATATCTAGGTCAAGTTTGAAGATGGATCATGTCTGGTCAAAAACTAGGTCACAGGAGCTAAAAATAGAAAAAGCTTGTTAACACTCTAGTGACTTCAGTTTTCATCCAAATATTTTGGAAATTTGTCAGGAAGGTTGTTTTGATAATATCTAGGTCAAGTTCGAAGATGGGTCATGTCTGGTCAAAAACTAGGTCACAGGAGCTAAAAATAGAAAAAGCTTGTTAACACTCTATAGGCTGCAGTTTTCATCCAAATATTCTGGAAATTTGTCTGGAAGGTTGTTTAGATGATATCTAGGTCAAGTTTGAAGATGGATCATGTCTGGTCAAAAACTAGGTCACAGGAGCTAAAAATAGAAAAAGCTTGTTAACACTCTAGTGGCTGCAGTTTTCATCCAAATATTCTGGAAATTTGTCAAGAATGTTGTTTTGATGATATCTAAGTCAAGTTGGAAGATGGGTCATCTCCAGTCAAAAACTAGGTCACAGGAGCTAAAAATAGAAAAGCTTGTTAACACATTAGGGGCTGCAGTTTTCATCCAAATATTCTTGAAATTTGTCAGGAAGGTTGTTTTGATGATTTCTAGGTCAAGTTCGAAGATGGGTCATCTCAGGTCAAAAACTAGGTCACAGGAGCTAAAAATAGAAAAAGCTTGTTTACACTCTAGTGGCTGCAGTTTTTATTCAAATATTCTGGAAATTTGTCAAGAATGTTGTTTTGATGTTTTCTGGGTCAAGTGCTAAGATTGGTCATGTGACTCATGTCCGGTCAAAAACTAGGTCACAGGAGCTAAAAATAGAAAAATCTTTTTAACACTCTAGTGGCTGCAGTTTTGATCCAAATTTCCTGGAAATTGGTCAGGAAGGTTGTTTTGATGATTTCTAGGTCAAGTTTGAATATGGGTCGTGTCCAGTCAAAAATTAGGTCACTTTGCCCAAATATGGAAAAATCTTAATAACACACTAGAGGTCACATGTTTGACTCAGTCGCATCAAACTTGGTCATGATGCTTGTTTAAGACATTGCTTGGATGCGGTTGTGTCAGGTGAGCGATCCAGGGCCATCATGGCCCTCTTGTTTAACAAGAAAACGAAAATCCACGAATTTAAGAACCCACGAAAATGCCCGTTTTGATAAAACCACGAACTTTCATGCCCACGAATATAAGTGATTTCGCAGTATATATATTACTTAAATTATCTAATAATTGGTACATTGAAAAATTAAGTTGAATGCGTAGGGGAGACATAATTCCTTAACTAGAAATAAAGTTGTGCATAGATGCAACTAGAAGAAAATAGTACTTAATTTTAGTTTTTTGAGATTCTTTTTTAAATATTAATATAAGGAAATATTGAAAAAAAGAAAGAAAAAAGATAAGGAATCTATCATCACAGCATAATAATAATACATATATTTTAAAAGCTCACTTTACATGTAACAACTGTGGATGTCATACCTCTTTTCAAATCTCTTTTTTTATCAGAGAGTTCAAAAGACAACAGTACAGATGACCAGTATGTGATAAGAAAAGGAAAGAGGAAGTCCGATCAGAAACCTGCAAAAGAACTGACTGAAGCTAAAATTAGAAAAGCTCAAAAAGGTCGATATATGAGCAATACAAATGATACTTGATTAAATTATAGTTTAAAATTGTTTTGTCTCTTTTAATTTTTGTAAACAGTCAGATAATCATATTCTGCTTTATCCTGCTACTGTCCATAATATCAGCTGGATAAAGCCTTGCCGGATAAACTTATTTATCAATAGTACTTATGTCACATAATTAGCATATCATAAGGTCATATGGTTAGCAAAACTAAACTATATATATAGACGCTGTTTTTTCCGGGGGAAAAAGTAAGAATGAATGAAATTAGTAAGAATGAAACCATTTAAATAATCTAAAAACCTGATTAAACTAGACAAAAACAGAATAAATCATAACATGGTTGTTGTCAGGTTGTTGCTCATCAAGATACACTTTCTCACTCACTGGATAAATATTCTCCATTCAGACATCAACCATGTATTCTCTATTTTGATAAAGAGCCAGATTGTGGTGAGATAATATGCAGCAGTAGCCAGTAGATTGTAAATGATTTAGATTTGTTCGATATTGTGTGACTTCTTTTTTAGATTTTTTCGATATTGTGTGACTTCGAATTTGCGTGAAATATTGCTTTTGTTATTAGTGTAAGATCACTTTCTTTATGTGTAAATATTCAGTGTCAAAGTTGAACTGCACACAACACCTTGTTCACTCACATGTCCTCACTGAAAAATTGTGATAAATTAACTTTGACCGGTTACGTACTAGAACATAGTTTACTACTGTGTATGTCAGCGAGCTTTGTCATGTCTGGACCAACGATCTGGTATTGTATTGATTATTTTAGACTATGCCTTTTACAATGATTACACTTCTTTAACACATAATTCTGTCATGGTAATTATACACCCTCCACTTTACATGGAAGGGGCATAAAGAGATACAGTTGTCCGTCTGGATGGTTCTCATGGTGTTTGTATGTAGACAGATTTATTGTGTGCAACATTCAATTAAATAGTAACTTACATACATAGGTATTTTGACACAAATTTATGGAACATCTGCAGAGCTTTGTCCCCAATTTAACCAGGAAATAGCAGTTTTTTGTGTAGCTTAAATATCTACTGGTGTCCTGAAATTCTATGAATATTTGTCATGGTGTGATTTTTACCCCTTGATAATTTGTTCCGAATTCATTTAAGATTAGAAAACGTATGGCCTCTGAGTTAACATAAAAAAATATCAAATTTGGACCATTTTTCTTATTAAAAGTATAATATTGGGGCTTCTGTGTCCCATGGATACAAGTTTAGTTTGCCTCAAGATCTTCTACAAGTTTATGCAAGAACTTCAGTTTTATTGTACAAATCAAATAATGAACTGAACCATCACAGATAAAGCAGCTTTGAAACATAGAATACTTATTCAAAATCTTGACAACCATTTAAGCGGCTTCATGACAAAACATTGTGCGTTTGCGACCAGCATGGATCCAGACCAGCCCGCGCATCCACGTAGTCTGATCAGGATCCATGCTGTTCGCTATCAGTTTCTCTACTTGTAATAGGGTTGGTAAGCTAACAGCATGGATCCTGATCAGACTGTCCAGGCTGGTCTGGATCTATGCTGGTCGCAAACGCACTATGTTGGTTTTGTCATGACGCGGCTCATTTGTTTATCTCACTGCATTTAAAGTCATACATTAACAGCTTTTACAGCTTGGTGGAGGGATACAAATTTACAGGCACGATTGTTATTTTCAAACATTTAATTCTTAAAGATTTCACAAATATGCAATTATAACACAAAACAAACAAGAATTGAATCATTTAACATCTACAGTGGTGGTTGTGCATCTAATTAACTAATAAGCACAACAGAGTCATGCTATTATTTATATTCTCAATATACGATACTAACATGACTAAAGACATTGCTATATATGAGTGATATACACAAATGGTATGATTTACAGGCCCAGTGATACACTCAATACTCACATTCACAGTGGTGTTAACTCTAAAATTATCATAATTATAATTTTGTACAGAATTTAAAGCTAAATGTATTATTGTTTATAGTTATTATTATTATTTCAACAGAATCAATAAGAATTAACTTATTTGTCAAGAAAAGTCTAGTTTGAATGTGTATTTTCAATGTTTATCATTGTTCATTCATACATTTAATATTGTAACTAACAATATTATTAAAGAATTATCATTCAGTGTATCTTATTATCAAGTACCACAATTCATGTTTCATTTCCTTCAAATTCAACAAACCCATTTAAAAAATCATTCACACAGAACTGCATTAAGAGATCAATTATTAAAAAGAAATTTAAAACATGCATCATCTGTGTTTGATATATTTGATTAATATAAAAAATATATCTGAATTTTTCATTGAAAAATTGTTAAAAAATCAATCACATTGACTAAATTTCTAGTATTCTTAAAATTGTACTATAAACAGTTTAAAAATGGACGGTATATGTGTTGAGATATGTTGATGTATATCCTGCTTTGGTATCCAGTAATCGGTGCAAACATTTTGTTACTCATACAAAAACAAGCAACAAATGTTTTATCTACCCTTTAAATTGCAGTCCTAACAGTTCTAAAACCCTGAATAAATAATAATTAGTTTTTTAAAGAAATAACCAGGTTAAACAAGTACAAAAGTAAATATAATGTGAAGTTTCATATTGTATACAACATTAATTATTTCTAGTACAACCTATGTGACAAGGTGATAACAACTTATGTGATAAAGTGAAACAACCTATATGACAGCCTATGTGATAAGATGAGCTTCGAATTCAGCACATAAATAACAAAGTAACAAACAATACATTAAAATTAATCCAATATTAATGATATGCAATCTTGTGTAAAAACAACCCCCCCCCCCCCAATCAAAGTCTACAGAATATTAATTTGGAAGTAGACAGACTGTCAATTTCGTTTTGAAATGATTTTGCTTAGCATGAAAATTTTAAGGATTACTGAATCAGCTACATAGATACATATATCTTATTTCTACAGGTTTTCATTGTATCATGGACACACGTGTACCTTTAACTTTGACCAGGTTCTTGTTATAACATGACTAATGACTTACACACAAAGGAAAATTATGCAAAACAATGCTAACAAAAAAGATTGCAAGATTCTAAGGGGAAAAATAAACATATGCATATTTTACACAAGCTGAACACTAAATAACAGACAGTGAGACAATGAAAGTTTCATATACATTATTTCATAAGTCATGTAAACATTTTAACAAGATGTTAAGAGAAAAATGCGACATATATATATAGGTCAAATGAAATCAAATTTCTTATTTAAATTGGGCTTGGATAAAAAATTTCAGGATTTTTTTTAAAACCTAAACCAACCATTAAATACAGTTCTGTTCAGAAAAATATGTAACTTGGTATAAAAAAATTCTAGTAAAATATATCTTAACTTAAAGGGACTCCACTGAGGTTTTTTGACATGATTGGACTAAAATAATTTTTCGAGATCAATAATCCATTTAATGTAGATCTATACCTAAAACTTAAGTGCAAACATTAAGATTGTTCGCTCATTCAGTTTATTCTTATTTTGAAAAATGACCCAAAAATTGGAAAGCGTTACAAAGCTTTTCACTCAAATCAGGCTAAGAAGGGCAAAAAAATACACCTTTCAATTTATTTCTGGGTGTATTTATGCTTTAGGCTTTAGTACCTCAGTGGAGTTTCTTTAAAATTATTATCTTACAATTTAATCATAGCACAATAAAGCAAAGGTGCAAATAAACATGAGATAGATGGACGGACATTAGAACACACAAAATCAAGGGTTCAGGCTGGAATGTAACATCTACATCACAATTGTATTCAAGTTAAGTTTTAAATCACACCAAACAATGTAAAGGTAAGACATGAGTGGACACCCACATTCCATAAACTGCCGTAACAACTTCCTCACATCCCCATTGGGATTTGAACCAGCAACAGTTGACTTGTCAGGAACCTTAACAAGGTGTTCCCTAGACTAACCAGGTGTTCCTTAGACTAACCAGGTGATCATTAAACTAACCAGGTGTTCATTAAAATAACCAGCAGGTGTTCATCAGAATTCAATAATCTGTGACATAGGTGTCTTGAACCCTTTAGGATTGGATATTAAATAAGAAATTAGTACATCTAAATACAACATGTAAATAAAAAGAGAACACAACAGAACTTTTATAATGTAAAATAAATACTGGTATAATAACACAACAAAAACAACAGTGAGAATAAATGCTAGCAGGGATTAATATAATAATTCTAGAAAAACCAATGTGCATCAGAATTAGATTAAACTAGGCTAGTTATATGTGACCACAACAAACTTGGAACTCGCCAAACTTGCTGTTTTCTAAGTCCTTATTAGAAATACCAGACAAAATTGCCCTTATATACTGAAACCATGACAGAGAAACGTCAGGAGTTATTTTTAGACTCTTCATTGCTTAATTGAACTCAATTAAACTTTTAAATAATTTGATTCGGCTATGATAGTTTCATATACTAATACATGTATTGCACAGGAGAGTATGTTCCTGAGTTCATCAAATACAATATGAAATTGTGCCTGACATTGGCTAGCTTCAAAATTGAGTAGTGTATTAATTAATGCTAATAAAATCCCATGCTTTTGGAGTGCCACAAAGATAATCAAAATGAAAAACACTGTAAAATCTTAAACAATACATGTACAATATAAATATAATGACATTCATTTTAAATATTTCATGTCAGTCGATTGAATAGACTCCAACATAAAATATTTTACTTTTATCTTTACAATATACAGCCATTGTGCTAACAAAGTCATATTAGTGGGGAACCATTATCTTGTCAAAAAATCAAGTTAGCAGTTTTAATACTTTAACAACATAATGATTTCAAAAATTAGTTTCAAAAGTTTTCTTGATAATATTATAAGTTATAAGTTACTGTACATGAACATGTTATGTCATCTAAGAAATGAAAAACCAGAATCTAAACTTTCCTCTACATGTATTCAATCTATGTAATGTGAATATTTTATGTAAAATGTCTTTCAGTCAGCATAAGAGCAGTGATACAACTTTGGTCCCCATTGCAATAAATTATAAAAAAAAATTGTGATTTCATCTATATCGCAGTCCTAAATACACAAAAAATCCTCATAATTTAACTGTTTTTAAAGTGGCATACCTCCAGATTAGTAAAATAAGTCCTTAAAAAATTGTATATACATGTATTCACTATCCTTACAAAACTACATCGATTATGCAAAAATTTACTAATTTACTATTTATTTTGGCAAAATTTTACCAAATCACTAAATAGGGTAAGAGAAATGTCAGCATACCTATTTTGACAAGTTGTAAGTAATTTCAATGGATAAATATGTGCCTTAGGCTAGCATAAATCCCTTAATTTGTACACTTGATAACATTATTCATTAGACCAATTTTTAATTTTTCATTAAGCTTAATACTAAATTGGAGGTGTGCTCCTTTAAAAAATTAAGCAAAGATTACAAACAATTAATAATAGTGCAGTTAAAGACAGCAAAAGTTTTTAACCTTTAACCTACTGAATGACTTAAAGGGACTTAACCAGCTACCATATTTGGAACTGTCCATTATCAATTTGGGGATATGTGGATGAAACTTTGTCAACCACCTGAATAGAGCCTGGTCAGACTGTAGGGATGTGCAGGCTGGCCTGGTTCTATACTGGTGGCAAAGGGCCAGTGATTTTTCTCAATTGTGGAGAGGTCTTAGCCTCTTGATTTTGGAATAATTATCGCTAAAATTGCTAATTTGGGAAGTAAAAAGCAGGTTAAAGTTCAGATTTTTGAGAAAACTGCATGATTTTAAAGAAAATTTCAATTGGGAAGAGGCCTTTTATCAGAGTCTGTTATAGAAATAGGAAAATCAATGAGGGCAAATCCCTATTGGTTCCAGCAGGTTACAGGTTAAAAGTGCAATTAAAGACAGTAAATATCTTTACTTAAGGCCACAGAATAATACCAAAATACCCTTAAAGCATTATCTTATAACATGGATAAAGCTAAAATAACCATAAGAATAAGATTTGTTAACAAACATTGTTGAAACAACAGACTGATATAGAAAAAAAAACATCAACAAAAGCATCTAAGCATAATGGGTGCAGTAAGTTTTCTGCGTTATACACTCTTAATTTCAAACAGGAATGTATGTATGTCAGAAATTGCATTGAAATGAATGACTGCAGCTACAACATAATGAGCTATTTATGATAAAAAACATTTATGTCAAAACACACTGTCTCAAAATACAGTGGCTCAAATACGTATTGTTTTAACATCAGGTCTAAGTACTTAATGCAATCTATATGTAGTAAAAGTTTTGACAGATACATAATTTGTATCTAATAATTGATATAGTTGTTATACCCTCACACTCCCTCATAAAAGACACCTCGAATTGTAGTCCCAAATACAACATCAGGTACTACATCAGGTACTAATAACATTCACACTTTAAAGAAATTTAATTGCACTTAATTATGCATAATGTACTATTCTGTGAAAATTAAATTAAAATTTTAATTGCATTCAACCATAAGCCTGGTTAACATATGCATTCATCTTGCTTTCAGCCCTACCCCCTCCCCCCACTCTCCAAAATTTTTCTAGTGTAAAAAAAGATTTATTTTAAGCAGCAGATGATATTTTAAGAAGCAAACAAAACCGCAAGGATGTGTGACTGGCCTGGTCTTGTATTGTTGGCAAAGGCAAGATGTTACTATTACGGACATTGATCCATAATTATAAGGTAAAATATTACTTTTCCTATTTTGTAGTAGAATTTATGCAAACATCAGAACAAATCAATCATGATAAACATTATTGTCTTGTTTAATATCAAGTCTTCACTGGAAAAATTCATTCAACTACAGACGAATTGCTTAAAAGCAAAAAGGAACTATCCATATTTATCTTTAATTTGCAGAAATAATATCACCAGGTGTCAATTCATAACTGATACAAGCTCAAAATTTTGTAATTGATGATGAATATATGAAGTATTTTGTTAACTTAGAGAACAATGTAATTTCCATCCAATACAGTCAGTATTTCTATTTGTTATTCAAAATGAATTTGTTACAACATTAAATGGCAATGCGAAAACAAAAATCTAAAAAAAACTTTTAACTACTTTTATTCCCTGCTTTCTAGAGAAAGCTTCTAGCTCATATTGAAATCAACTTGTGCCTATTTAGACTTATCACTGAGTATTTTTATATCAGGCCAATAGATATAGGCTATGACTTATTGTACAAAATATAAGCTTTGCAAAAATGGTAATGTTGCACAGTGTTATAAAGATGTATATATTTTTAGGCTGTAATTTAACATTTTATCACATTTCATCATTCTCTAAACAGGACTATTATATTTATACCCAATAAAAATCATGTGGTCGGAAAATCTGACAGTGTTAATATCTTATTTATCTCCCATTAACTCTGCTTTTAATTTGTTAGCAATTTGACGTCTCATTTCAATCTTTTTCTGTTCTTCCGGAGAAATTCCTTTCTTTTCCTCGGCTTCTTTCTTCTTATCACCTTCCAACATTTGCCGTGCAGCACGAGCAGACATTGGTCGACCAGGGTTACTCTGTTCTGCGGAGAGAAGTTGCTTTTCACGCTCCTTTTTCTTCATTGCGATGAGTTTATCTCGTTGAGCTATAAGATAAGCCTGACGCTTCTTAATCTCCTCTGCACTCATACCTGCCATGGCCGCCTGTAATGTTTATAGAATCTAGTTATATATTATAAAGTAATAGTTTATCTTGAACTGTCATACCTGAAATATAAACAGCAGTCTGTGTATGCATATATCATATATGCCATAATTTCTAGGCTAGTTATTGGGACATTTTCCATTGTGGGGGGGGGGGGGGGGGTCATCAAGCAAATTGTTTCTAAAATTTACATACATAGTTGCATACAACCTAGACTAATGGCATTTACAACTTAAAAAACATAAAGAAAATAAAATGCCGACAATAATTGTTTCTATCTCTTTTAAAAGTATAATAAGGGCTCATGAATTAAATCAGTAACAATACGGCATAAAGCTATGTTTAGTATGGACAATTAGCCATTTTGTTGCTGCAGTGTTTGTATATAATAGTTAGGATTGTTTTGATAGCTTGTAGGCTATTACCTTCACAAGTAATAGTGAAGACACAGAGACAGTAACCTTGCTAATGTAACTTCAAACATTAAAGTTCATCTATTGAACACGAAAAAAAAACCCCGAAAAAACAACATAATTTCCTCATGTATTCACTACTGTGCAGCTTCAAATTGAACTGTTTTCTTCCTAAAAGTCTAGCCAACACTGCTAAGGTTATTAAGGATATTTAAACCATTACATGACTGTGTGAAAAGATAGAAAGTTACCACACTTAAATATTTCTGCATCATATTAGCATCTCTGTAAAAGTAGATGTCAGATAAAAAACAAGCGGAAATACTGAAGTGTAAAATTGTGTATTATCCATTTCTGAGATCACAAATCTTATATCAAATACTTTTTAATACAATCTACACATTTAGCAAAACATTTTGCATATCATTTTTAAATGGTAGTTCATTGTCAGAGTTTTCTGGTTATAGCAATACAGACACTAGAAAGGTCAATGCTTTCATTAAGGAGGGATTCCTCAGGTACAGTGAAAGTTGAGAAAACCGGACGACTTTCGGACCAAGGGTTTTGTCCGGTTTTCTCAGCGGTCCGTATTCTCAATGTCCCCTTTAGCTGTTCAGGATCATATAAATATCATATAAACTGAGCAATGACTAACAAAGGATGCTGAACGTATATTTGCATTTTCATAATCATGAGTAAGTATATTGCTAAATAAAGAAATGATAAAAATACTATACAATATGTTTTAATTGTTTTGTCCCATTATTGCATATAAATACAATTAAATTTTGGATTTAAACGAACAGCAGTTGCCTCATAACGATAAGGTCCGATTACATCTGCATATGTTTACATTTGGGTAATGGATAATGATTTAACGAACATACATGTAGTTTACTTTGTTTGTTTACATAATCATGCCCAAATTGTAAATATTGCCTATACCATATTTGTCAAATAAAGATTTTTAAAGTAGGTCTCGGCAAATTTTCACTGTCTTTAATTAATTTAAATTTGTCACTTATAGACAGCTCTCTTCAACTGAATTTAACTTATCAATTCCTCGTGCATGTTGACATTTATATAAAACGGTTACAATTATACCTTAAAATAAATCAAACTGTGAAATGAGACATAATTAACAAATCAGACAATCATTGTTCCGTTACCGCTCAGTAAGCGTATTAGACACAACCAATTGATAAGTACAGAAGGTTATTCACACCTTCGTCGTCCGGTATTGTCAGGGTAATTGTCTATATAATTGACTTTGTAGTCCACTATCAACCGTCCGATATTCGGTTTTACAGATTCCGGTATTGTCAATGTTTAATACAATAGTTTAAAGAAGGGAAAAAAATGGGACTGAATTATTCGTCCGGTATTCAGAGAGTTCCGATTTTTTCAGCGTCCGGTTTTCTCAAATTTCACTGTATATCTTAAAGCATTGTTTCACAAATGAGCTTGTATCCAAGAAAAGCCACATATTATACTGAATAATTATATAAGCTACAGATAGCTTCTTTAAGCCCAAGAATTCAACAAAACCAATTACCATGACAGAATTTGAAAACAATTAAGTGATAGAAAATCAGAAATTTTAACCCATGAGTACATGACTAAGTTTTTTAATTAAATAATATTTTCTCCCACAATAGTGATACTTACGGCTGCTTTTTGAACAGCATCAGACTGTCCAGTGTCTGAAGTTTCATCCTGTGCTGACTTAAGCCAGTTAGCTGCTGCCTGGCTGCTGCTGATCTGCGGAACTCGGGTCATGGGTAGGAGCCCAGGTCCTACCAAACTTTGGTCTATACTTGGCTGACTTGATCCCGATGTGGTCTTGCTGGCCCCACCACTAGCGGATGGTATTTTACCAGCACTTGCCTTTCCACTGCTAGCAGTGACAGCAGTGTCTTTCTCTGTGTACATGCTCACACTTATACCAGGTGTCCCTATCACTGGCTGTCATTTATAAATACAAAATACATCATTTAACTTAATGCAATTATAATCATTTATTATATACTTATAAATGAAATACATTTTTGAGAAATATTGATGAAATAAAATGCATATTTTCATTTTCTCTATTTTCTCAAAAAAGTATATCAAAAGCAGGAAAATCTTTTTCTTTTGTAACTGTGGGATTTATTTTCATCCCATGGTATATAAAAACTTGAATATCTTCTATATATGAAACAAGAAAATCACTAAATTTGATAACAAATTTTCATATTTTACTAGAATTTTGTCATACATTACAAATGTGAATATATAATTACAACAGCACTTCACCTTAGTGCAGCAACAAATTAACTTAACATATTTTAATAGGAATTAACCCGTTACTGCACTAGCCAGTAAGGTAACGAGCAATACTATTTCCATTACATAACCTTACGTAATTTTCTGATTAGAAGAAAAGCATGTATAAAAAGTTATATAATCATTCTATTGTACCTATATCTTTACAAAATATTGAGCATAACATTATCATTTTTTTTCAACTATTTCAATGAATCAATTACCTTATCTTTTGGTTTTGGTTGTGTTGGAATAGCAACTAACGGTGGCATTGACTTAGTAGTACTATCTTCTAAAACTAAATTCTGCATAACCTGTAAATAAAAAAAAACATGTGATTTTGTTTTAAAAGCAATTCTTTGTGTCTTAAAATTAGAAAAGTTTCTAAAAGTTAATGCAGAAGTTAAATGAGCCACGTCACAACAAAACCAACATAGTGCGTTTGCAACCAGCATGGATCCAGACCAGCCTGCGCATCCACGCAGTCTGATCAGGATCCATGCTGTTCGCTATCAGTTTCTCTACCTGTTATAGGGTCTGTAAGCAAACAGCATGGATCCTGATCAGACTGCCCAGATGCGCAGGCTAATCTGGATCCATGCTGGTCGCAAACCCATTATGTTGGTTTTGTCATGGCGCGGCTCAAAAGTACTTGCAGATTAGATTAAAGCATAATTATACAGATAACTACATGTATTCAGTATTTAACAATTCCTCCTCAAGTGACCAACTACTACTCACACATGAATTTACTCAGTGGAGAAAAAACAAGACAATAAGATTAAATGATCAAAGTCAGTTGTTACAGAGAAATTACACCATGCCTGAGGATCAAGCCACAGACCCCTGTATTACAAATCTGGTGCTCTCCCTATTGAACTAAGCGAGCGGCCTAAATAGTAAAAACTGTAATTTTCAACCAGTGACACAAAAAATTGCATGCTTCTCAGAAGACAAAAAGGGAAACAAAATAAATCTGGAAACAACTTTAAAAAAAATCTTGTACAGATTATGTGATAGTTTCATAAAATAAATCAAACATAACGCCCATGCCATGACAAGAAATATTTTGTAAATATATTATAGATTGCCTTGACAATACATGTATAAATATTTTACATATTGTTATGGAAAACAAGAGCTGTCGGTAGGACAGCAATGCTTGACTATTCTAAGTGCTTGATAGTAAAAAAAAAAGCTTGATAGAGTTACCTCCTCCTATGTACAGGGTGTTGGGGTCATGATGGTGAACAAGTGTGCAAAGTTTCAAAGCCATATGTCAATGGACTTTGAAAATATTTGAACTATTACAAAAACTTTAACATAAGTGGTTACGCCGACGCAGACGCCGACACTGACGCCGACGCTCGGGTGACTACAATAGCTCTACTTATTCTTATCGAATAGTCGAGCTAAAAATAATCAGTACCCCTTGGGGCGGGGTAAATTTTGATCCCAGGGCTTTTCCTTGTAAAAACTTTGTAGATATTCACCATGCTTAATATCTAAGATCCAGCTCTCTAGGTTCTTTAAAAGAAGATTTTTTAAGTTTTAACTATATACATATAGGGAAATAATGCCCCTCCCATGCGGGGCCAATTTTAACCCCAGAGCTTTTAATAATTTGAACAAACTTGGTAGACACCCATTAGAAAATGTTTCATGTTAAATATCTAAGCTCAAGCTCTTTGGATTTTTTAAAAGAGGATTTTTTAAGTTTTTACTATATACATATAGGGAAAACAATGACCCCCCGCTGGGTCGGGGCCAATTTTTACCCCAGGGTTTTTATTTAAACAAACTTGGTAGACACCCATTAGAAGATGTTTCATGCTAAATATCTAAACTCTACCTCTTTGGGTTTTTTAAAAGAAGATTTTTTAAGGTTTAACTATATATATATGGAAAAACAATGACCCCCTTGGGGCAGGGCCAATTTTGAACAGACTTGGTAGAGACTTGCTAGAAGATGTTTCATGCCAAATATCTAAGCTCTAGCTCTTTGGGTTTCTTAAAAGATTTTTTAATTTTCTTCTTTTGGTTGCCATGGCAACCAGAGTTCTGCATGGAATTAAATTCTTTGAACAACTTTGTAAGATGACCACCAAAGGAACATTCTTCTGAAGTTTGGATGAGCAGTTTATGAGGAAATGTCGTTTAAAGATAGAAGTTTTAATATAGACATGTAGGCAAAATTAAAACTCTTTAATAGAATTTCTTTAAACTTGGCATTTATTAGAATATCATAACAGAAACATTTTAAACAGTAAAAAATTTGGGGTCACCGTTCTCATTTTCGAGTAATCTGCCCTTGAATTGGACTTTTTTTCATTAAATTCAAGGGCAGATAATTTACAATGAAGCAAAACAATACATTTTTTTCTTCTTATTTTCATGAAGCTTACTTTTGTCTTAGTCAATATGCAAAATTTCAAGAACAAAGTTAGAGTGGATAGTTTTTTCTCCCACTTCTTCTTTTAACCTGTGCATTTTTTGTTAAAAATTGGCCTATTTTTTATGAATTTAAGGTACCTTTCTTTTCATTGAAAAAACAAAACAAAACAAAAACGATATAAGGAATTGCATGTAATTATGTATTGTACTCAACAATAAAAAGAAAAACATTATCCAGAATTAAAAACAAGAATTCATTTGCGTATGTACAAGTTATCTGCCCTTTAAATGACCTCAAATAAGTAGAAAATTCTGATTCAGGGGCAGATAACTCAAAAACAAGAACGGTGACCCCAATTTTTTTTTCCCGCTTAAAATGTTTCTGTTATCATATTCTAACAACATGCCAAGTTTAAAGAAATTCTATAGAACAATTTTAATATTGCCCATATGTCTATATGTCCCAAAACGTCCTTAAAGTAAAAGTTTATGGATGATGGACGGATGGACGCCGGACGAAAAGCGATCACAAAAGCAAACCATGTCACTTTGTGACAGGTGAGCTAAAAATCCACTACAATTAAATGCGAAAAGCAACATCTCAAATGATGTCCATATTTTTATTGTATAAATTTACCGCATTCATTTTCTCTTGCTCTGACTGTCTCTGGGACTCTAATTGCACTGCTTCATGTTTAGACATCTCAATAGTTTTCTGCATCTCAACTTTATCCTTTGTGTCACGTCTCTGAAGTTTCTTCTGCTCCTCTTCATATTCTCTCTTTGACTGCCTGTAATATATATATAACAAACATTTTTTTTATCCCTATTCTTTTCAATAAGAAATGAGCCGCGTCAAGACAAAACCAACATAATTGGTTTGCGACCAGCATAGATCCAGACCAGCCTGCGCATCCGCGCAGTCTGATCAGGATCCATGCTGTTCGCTATCAGTTTAATTATCTACTTGTTATAGGGTTTGTAAGCGAACAGCATGGATCCTGATCAGACTGCGCGGATGCGCAGGCTGGTCTGGATCCATGCTGGTCGCAAACCCACTATGTTGGTTTTGTCGTGAAGCGGCTCAAATACATGTACTTACACAAATCAGTGAGATATAAATTATATCACACCATTGGAAACTGGGTAAAAAAAAAGAAATTTGGTTTCACTTTACACTTTGAAAAGCATAGCAAAGAAGAACACATAAAATATATATAGAGAGAATATTGAATGAGAGTGTAGGTTTAGTACTAAATTTATTATACGGGTTGTATAAAATCATATTATGCGAGCATAATACTGTTTTATTCAATGAGTTCAATAAATTTAGTATTGAATCTGCACAAATATAATATTCTATTTATCACATATATAAAATAAGAACAGTAAATTGTTAAAATGAGTAATTTTTCAATGACATTAGCGCTTTAATGCTATGTTTTATATATGGTACAAATGATGTCACGTCAAAGTGTTATTACACTAGTGTAATATCATTTTGTTACAGTTTTTGTTATTTGGTAATGTCTCGCAACAGCTTGTTTTATTGCAAGAACTATAGAATGATATGCAAGATAATACAAAGAAAATTTACTCATTTTTAGTGAATGAATTTTTGAATACATCTTATTTTAGAAATGAGAATAATTTTAACAAAAAATTCCTTTGTATTTACTTTTGAAAATATTAAGTAAATTCTTGCTTCATAAAAGTCAAATAACTATCCTTTATTTAATACATTCAGCCCTATTATAAAAGTCAGATACATAAACTAAACGAAAGAATTTTAGACAATATCACTGTCTGTACTTATATACACAGATAATTATATTCAGCTAAATATCAGTTCCAATAGGTAGCTCAAATGTTATCGTCACATCAGTTCAAAAATAATACATCACTGGTTGTTCACACATTCCTTTTCTTGCATATCAGACTGGCGTTTCCGTAAGTTTTACCCATGCCGGAAATTTCATCTGGCATGGGGGGTTCCAGATGAGTCGCGTGCTGTACAATGGCACGATTAGGATGACGTCATTTTACCGTTATGAATGAAGTTGTAATTCATAGGCTGTTGTAAGAAAGTAGTTACGGTTGTAATGATATAAATTTTCATTGAAAATAAAGAAAAAGAATTTAAAGTATAATGGAATATGGTAGAATATGCAAGAAAAAATATCTGACATATCATTGCGGTTTGGATCGGAATATCCGTCCCTTGGTCACCCGCCCATGGGCGGTAACTCGGCAAGCCTCGTTACCGCCCAATGGGTGGGTCACCTCGGGACGGATATTCCGATCCGAACCGCAAAATATGACAGATATTATTATTATTATTGCTTATACCTTAATATAATAAAAAAAAGTTTCATATTAGTGTCTGTTCGAAAAGTGTTCAAGCCTTATTCAATTTAAGTTACATTAATATTCTGAATCATCAATATAAAGACATGTAAGGGGATAACTTTACTAGTTCTTTAGGTACAAGCTCACATAATTATTCTCTTATACATGTAACTGAAAAGTGGAAGTACATACAAATACAGAAGCTGTGATGAAATAATGTTATATGTAATAAATAAATTAAATATAGGTTTTAAAGATTTCTAAGTAAATCTGATGAAAAATATTGATAAACAAATTCAAAAACAATTTTGACATGAAAATTTGGCCTTAGTGCAAAAAAAAGTTGCATTTTCTTTATGTCAATAAAGTTGCAATAATTTTCAACCAGTGACACAAAAAATTGAGCAGGTATTTCAATAAACATTGCATGCTTCTCAGAAGACAAAAAGTAAAACAAAATACATCTGTAAACAAATTAAAAAAAAAAAACTTTCAAAAATGATAATATCTTGAACAGATAATGTGATAGTTTCATAAAATTAATCAAACATAAAGCCTATGCCATGACAAGAAATATTTTGTACATATCTTATAGATTGATTGATTGAAGTTAAAGCTTAATGAGGGTCCATCCGCCCTTTCGGGCACAAAATGCAGCTTGCACTGTCCAGTACGGACCCCGTACATGTCACCAGTCATGTCCTTAAAGAGTTAATTTTGAAGCACAAAGTGGTGATAATTTACCTCCATGCAATTTCCACGGAGTATTAGCCAAAGATATGAATTTTGAGCCAAAAGTAGGTCACTGTACGGCGGTCAATGAGAACCTAAATGTACAGTAACCTGTGACAATAGGAAAGTTTGCCTTGACAATACATGTATAAATATTTTACTTATTAATATGAAAAAAATTTAAGGTTGAAGTTGAAATAACCAAACATCTAGTTTTTTATACAAAATATGAGTTATTCATAAAGACTTGAATAGGGTTTAGTATACCTCAACTTGATATAAAATTGAAACTCCCTGGCAGGATTCAAACCCACGGCAGCTACGGACAAGTGGTTTTAATATTTGATGGCCAAAATTTTTTTAAATTTTTTATGTACATATAGTAAACAACATGAAAAAATGTATTTCTTTTCCATGGCAAATGCTTTTTTTGGAAAAAATTAATATGTTCAAATAATATTTCTACATTACCTTTTCACCCTTCTACATGAATTATTATAAGCAGAAATTATATCAAAAGAACATGTATAAACATATAATATCAGCACTGAAATAAGTCCTAGTATCAGCACAATTAATTTAGCAAACTTTACATCAATATTATACTTGACTACTTACTATACTTCTAAAAATATTTACCTGCATTTCTTAATCCATTGTTTTTTTTGCTACATACAAAGTACAATCAAGAGTGCTTGTAGAACAATCAGGAAACATTTATCAATTTTCTAGTACAATCAGACAGAAAAATCATTTCAATATTCTAATATAATAAATTGATCTCCAATTGAAGAAATAACTTACTCTAGGACCCGTTTCATAATTTCATCCTCGCTCTCCCGGGGTGCAGGGGGTGGGGATTGTGACTTGGACTGTCCGTCAGTTAGACTGTCAGGAAGGGCGCCTGTTGTTTTCATAATGAGCATTAAAGCTTGTTGCTGTAGTTCAATATTTTTGGTTGTCATCATTCTTACAAACACCTGGTAGTCATCCATAGCTAACACTAACTCAAATAAACCCTGTAAACAAAAATTACAATATTACTTTTTATATTTTATGTACATGTAACTTTCTTTACATTTTCCAAATAATAACTTCAACATAAAAAAGAAAAACCTTAATAAAAAAGGTATACTTTACTCATCTAAGAACCTAAGAAACAATCAAAAATCTGTGTAGCATTTGAGGGGTAGATGTCAGTTAAAGATTAATCTATAGACCTCTAGTGGTCATTTTGTTCAGCTGACCAGAACGACTCATCAGCATTTGTAAAGGAACACAGAACACATATTTTCAGTGATGCTTCCTCACAACTGGCTATAAAGGTTGAGATTGAAATATTCATACAAAAAAAAAGTTGTTTTACAAGGAAAAGAAGAAGACTAATCATAGTTGATGAACAAAGGCTAATCTGAGCACTTTGTGATGTAAATAAATGTATTGCTCATTTGCATTATGCTTAATTCCATTTGAGCAACATTTCACTACAGGAAAAAGGAGCAATTATAATTATCTGTGGGTCAGTTATACCTTCTACATGCTTTACAAACCAACTTCAAACAGAAAGCTTTAACACATTAAATGTAATTTTTCTCAGTTTAAATATAGGTATAGTAATAGTATAAAATCATTAAATCTAGATAGTCTCAAATTATAATCCTTCTGTTCTACCATTGCTTTTATAAACTTCCATTACAACATGTACCAATTTACAGGACTCTTATCAAATTCCTTCATAACTAACATAAATGTGTACATGTTCAGGGGCGGCAAAATCAATTGTCCGTATTGCCCAGGTTGTCCCACAGCTTGTACGGACAAGTGGAAATTTTTAAGAATTTACTATATAGATGTTATAAGTTAAGAAATGCTTCAGATAAAAATGGACAAGTAAGTCAAAATCAGATTTTGCCGGCCCTGATGTTAAAGCATGTTTGAACTATGTTGTTATTTACAGTTTTAACAGCTAAGCTAAAACTCCTGCCACATAATTTTCATATTCTTGAAGAAATGTAACTTCTTTCTTTATCATATTCAAACTTGCACAAAATTACTTTATACAGTGTATTTATACAGTGTAGAAGGGATCTGACAACTTACATGGAAAACTTCCCGGATATCTTTCTTGGAATTCATATCCTTTAAGGCTTGTATCACTTCATCATGGCTAAGTTTGGTGTCTTTTGTAAACGCATCTAACAAGGCTTCAACCTAAAAAGCAAGAACAATTTCATTTCATCTTAATTAGTCTATTTAATTAATTAAAACTATTTTATGAAGCACTTTATCTGTTATAGGATAAGCAATGAGCCGCGTCACGACAAAACCAACATAGTGCGTTTGCGACCAGCATGGATCCAGACCAGCCTGCGCATCTGCGCAGTCTGATCAGGATCCATGCTGTTCGCTTACCAACTCTATTACAAGTAGAGAAACTGACAGCGAACAGCATGGATCCTGATCAGACTGCGCGGATGCGCAGGCTGGTCTGGATCCATGCTGGTCGCAAACGCATTATGTTGGTTTTGTCGTGACGTGGCTCAAATGATATAATAACTGATATACAGAGGATATTTAAGTTGCTTTATTCTATAAATACAGTATTCATTTCATTGAGTGGTATGAAAATAAATATTTCATAAGTTGCGGCAGCCATGAGTGATATATGATAATTTTCATACCACAAGTCTCTCCTTTTTTGGCAAATATGCCAGTGTCCTTAGGGCTTGTAGGATTGTGAGTTATATAAACCTCTTCATATATCATTTCAAAGTCTTATCATAATTTACATAAATTGAGTACTTAGCATCTTAGATTCCTGATTAAATTAAGCTTCAGATTACACCTTGAAGATTTAAACTGTAAGCTCTTAGTAGTTAGATACTGTTACATGAACCTTATCATAAAATAGATGGTCATTATTGGAAAAAAATCACTGAAGTGAAACTGACTATAATGATACTAGTGCAAAACTAAAAAATGTTCTTATTTAAACAATCCAAAATTTTCATATTGATTTCTATAGATATAATAATTGAGCAGAAAATAAATTTCCTACAATTTAATTTGAATTCCACAAATTAACATTTGAAATTGATTGAGAAATGTCAGCATTATCAATTATTCAAAAGGTTGAAACCTGTCAGGCAATATGTTAAAACAAAATCATGTTTACAAATCTACTTTGATATCACCGATGGGATTTGAATGACCTTTAGTCACTTACTTGTGATCATTCAATGTGAAGAACAAGGTAGTTTATGCAAACCAAATAAATCATTTACAATACAGGTATGAATGTTAAATTTAATTGCCTATTCAAAAATGACATCCCTGCAAATTTCAAAATTTGTGTTCATTTCTTTATCCAAGATTCAGCCTATTTTTCCAATATATCCAATATTTGATCTACTGAGCTTATAATACTCTATGAACAGCTTTCAGGTGAAAAGTTAAGCTTGGCAGAATATCATTATGCCTGGCTGATGCAGTGTTCAAATAAACTAAACTGACAAGCAATTATATATAAATATATTAATTTTCTTTAAAACAGATATTTCAGCTGCACTTACAACTTGTTTGTATTCATGGTGAATTTTCTTATACTCTGCCATATCTTCCACACTGGGATCAAATACTGAAAAAAAATTAACAGAATTACAAGTTTATACGCTAGCATTGCATCCTTCAAAACATTAAATACGATCTTGCTGCTGCACCCAAAAGCTTCCTGCTATATTTATAAAGTGTTTGACAATTACCACACTATCCCTGTTGACACCAATGAATTTGAATGGCTCCAGTAATAACTCAGGATATACTGCAAGATTCTGTCTAAATTACCAACTTAATTCATAAAAATTCTTGTTGACTTGGTAAAGTATTACCAACATGTGGCCTTCATTTAAGAACTTCCTTTTTTCCAAGAATCCTGAAGCTTCCAAGTCATCTTTATACATGTAGTGATGTACATACTTTATCATGAATATTGCATAATAAAAATGGTAAATATGTAAAATAAAATATTGTTTTAGCATATTTAGTGCCAAATTTAGTTCAAATCATCTCCACCTGCAGCAAACACCAACTAATTTGGTGCCACTGCTAAGTGCCACAGAGCAGTAGACTTTTTGTACAGACTACAATCAAAAAGTGCAAACCTAATTATCATAGGCTTTAATGATATCTAACTTAGACTGCTTATAGAATCCCAGCATTGAAATATACGCATCCTATAAACATGCATACCAGGACTCCTTATCATGTGTCAACAAGAACCTGTATGAGAACTACTGGCATGTCAGTAGCCTCATAATTATACAGGGAAGTCAAAGGCTGGGTCCGCAAAGCGTATTTCATGATGGGCGCCGTAACTAACACAATAATAAACGGAAAACATTCCGATAATGGACCATTAGCAACTTTTTAACTTACAAATTAAAAATTAAAGCTGAGGTGTTCTAATTGAAAAGGAAAATGTTATCTGGTTCCCTGTTCTGTTATGGTTCCCATCCAAGATAAAATGAGCTGGAGACTAGCCTAAATGGAAGTTTAGCAGTGTATAAAATACCGAATGCCACTTTTAAAATGGAAAATGTAAACTAAAATTAACGACTTGTTTTTTGACATCCCCAGTTCATAGGCTTTGCCTATTTTCATATTAGACTTGATATGTATATTTAAATGGAAATCAAATAAAAAAACATATAGATTTACCTATCAGTGAAATATTCAGTGTCATATCAAGTTAGGAGTCACCATTTTCATTGTTACTAAATGATAATAGGCGGGGTATTCCATTAAAAGAACAATCACAACTTTTCGGGATATTGCGAGTGAAAATGTAAGCGGTAACATGAAATACCAAATGACACTTTTTCTACTCAGGTGCCCATTTGTGCCTGAAATAATGCATGGAAGGGCACCTGAGGTCTTGCTCCAACAGTAAAGCTGGAACGACACCATATATGACCTATACTGTGTTGGTCTGTCGGTGATGTAAAAGTAAAACCAAAAATAAAACAAATCAATGTAAATATACGCTGATTTAATAGGTTTTTTGGTTCCGCAAGATTTTTTTTTTAACAGCAATTTTGATATGATGTTGCTTTGTCCAGAAGCAAAAATATTTCAAAGTGATGTGATAGTGAGCTCGAGGAGCTGAGCAACTTTACAGTATCACGAGTACCTGCTAGATAGTGATGGTTTTGAAAACTTTCGTCCGAAGTACCACATTGACTCAGGGCTCGCGCTGGCAGGAGCCAATGAGCAAATTGGCTCCAAAATCATTAAACTGGCTCAAGAAAATCACGATTGCCTCAAACTTACGAAAAGTATGACTTTTTGAATCTCCAGTCTAAATTTAGCATTTGCTATATTAAGAATGGAAAACTACATATTTGTAACTTCCCATCTGAATGAAATATGGTTGTGTGTGTGTATTTGCGTTTATTTATACTCGCCACCGGTTGCCCATATGGGCGAGCCCTCCAGAAGAGTATTAGTCATTTTATTTTTCGGAGGATAGTGCAATTACAGATACAGAAAGATGCCCCAGTTCCAGAAGCTTCTCCTGGTTCTTTAGCGTGCCAAGTGTTTAAGCACCCATACACGGGACCTCGATTTAAAGTCTCATCCGAAAGACTGATTAGTAATTTTAGTTGGCCAGCCCGGGAATCGAACCCACAATGTCGAGATTACAAGTCTCGCGCTCTAACCGATTGAGCTATGCGGGCTGGCGTTAAAATATGGTTATGAACAGTAACACAGTCTAAAACATTGACCTCATGGTATGTTTACATGTTTATCAGCTGATAAATATGACACTAATTGGTGTGAAAACACCTGACAGTTTGTTGAATATGCACTGGATAATGGGTCTTAATATTCAATATGAAAAAATAAATAGCGGCATCTCAAGATTATTGCTTATCAAATCAACAGATGGGTATGAAATAGCGACAAATTATGTTCTGCAGTTGACAACTTGCCGGTGTTTATTGTTAAAAGTAAAGATCAAAGGAATTTGTGGGTTATAGAGTGAAGGGCTCTTTGCTTTTTTCTTTTTTTTTTTTTTTGGGGGGGGGGGGGGGTATATTGCCAATAAAATCTGACCTAATTATGGCTCCAAAAACATAAAATTGACATGGATTTTTTTTGACATTTGAAGCTTGACAGGGTAATCCTGAAACTTAAAACCAAATTTTAGTTTAGTCTAAAGTTCTCACAGAAACATTAATTTACAAATTGCATATGACTGTGAAATAATAAAGATTCAGTCAAGAAGTATACAAAATGCCTTTAGGTAACTTATTTTGATTACTTTACACATGAATAGTATGTGATTTTAAGCTGAATTATCTTAGTTTAGAATTCTTCAATATTCTTTTCTTCATTCTTCTTTCTTTCAAACATGTTTATTTTTATACAGATAGACTCAAGCCAAATCGTTGGCATTTACCAAGCAAGCTGAATTAAGCAGCACATTGGAATGTGTTTCTGCTGTCATTGTCATACCACTCAACTGAACTTAAAAGATTTTTGGGAAAACCTTGTGCCGCACTTACCCTTGGCTTGTAATAAAAGTATGAGCTGCAAGCCTTTTTTGATACCTGACAACTGGTAAATTTATAGTTAAGTGTGTTCTGGTGTAAAACAATTAGCCTCCAATAAAGTTGAACTGTTGTATAAAAGTTTTTCTATATATCTCATGCAAAACCATTGCCTTATTTGAAAATAAAATATAGGCAGGCAATTTTCGCCGCGAAAAAAATTGGCTCAAAGAAAAAAATTGCCAGTGCTAGCCCTGCATTGACAATTTGACACATCCCAACTTTTTGAATTACACTTAGATAACAATAAAAGCTGAGGTATCCTGATAAAAAAACAGAAGCATAGACTGGTGTCCTGCGCACTTATATATTGGGAACCATAATAGGACAGGGAACCAGAATAAAAGGAAGCAGTGTCTAAAATACTGAATGACAATTTCAAAACAGAAATGTAAAATAAAAATGAATGATTATTTATTACTATTTCACGGTAAAAATATCGAGCTCCGGGCTTTGAGGCTTTGCCTTTTTCATATTAGGACAGGGAACCAGAATAAACGGAAGCAGTGTATAAAATAAAGAATGACAGATTTAAGACGGAAAATGTAAAATAAAAATGAACGATGAATTTATACTATTTCACAGTAAACGTAAATTGAGCTTGCTTTGAGGCTTTGCCCATTTCATACCCAGCAGGCACATCAACGTTGTTTCAACGTTGAATTATGGTCAGATTTCAACGTTGAAATAAGGTTGGATTTATATTCGGATTTGAAAGTTGAAACAACGTTGAAATTTCAACGTTGATACAACGTTGCAGCTTCACCGTTGGTACAACGTTGAAGTTTCAATGTCATTTCAACGTTGAAAACCCACCGTACTTTAATTTTTGGATATAAAGCAAAGTTACCAAGTTTAACAAAATATCAAGACAATATTAAATACTTCAGATATTTTATTTAAAAAATACAGTTCAAGTGCAGCTTAAATTCACTTTAATAGTTTTAACAATTAAGCTAAAATCTGTTCCAATCTTTTCTTCTAGATCTTTCTGGGTATGTCAGGTGTTTGAGTACTTCTTTGGCTGTCTCTTACTGCTTCTGCAAATAAAAATAAGAAGTTGTTGACTTGGTCAATCTCAAATTATACATATAATTACTCAACTTAAGGATTTGTTTTTATCTTAAAATGTTTTTCTCTAAGATTTACATCATAAAACAGCATAGAAATTGAAACATAGCTAAGTTTCATATTGACAGCAAATACTGTATGTAAGACAACAAAATCTTTTTAAAAAAGAAGCTATTTAAAAGTCTCACCTATGATTGGTAAGAAAAACTGCTCCCCGTCAGTTCCTTGCAGCATATTCCCAAGAAATTAACATTCTAGGCTCTAGCTAAGACCATTTTATGCAGCATCCTGAAATCAACAAAACATGTAAATTTTATATTAATAATGTTACAGGAATATTCAGAAAATAATATATTTTAAGACAAGATAAATATCCAGTAGTTGAAAAATTTATACTTTGTATTGTAAATAAATTCAAATATGTAAATTAATAAGAATTAATTTCAATTTAACAAACCTGACAGTCCTTTTCATGTTGAGTGTATGGTATACAGACTACAGCTGCAATACTCTAAATTTCAGCCAGGACCAGGATCTAGAATATAAAATAATACAGTATATAATAAAATAGAAATAGATTTATTATTCCCTATAAATTTACGACTATTCAACTTTAAAATTTAACACTCAACTTTGTTATTTAACTTAATAATAATGTATTTTTTTCAAACTAATTAATACTGTATTATACTATCACTAAAATATAAACATAGACATAGTTATATATATTGTCTTGGGACGTAAATTATGTGGGCCGAACTACTCTGTGTTTATTCTAGGAATTCAAAAATAGGGGTGATTTTCCCCCCTCTATTTCAAAAAAGGGGGCGATTTTCAAAATCAAGGGATGCCAATATAAACTGCCAATATTAAATTGTCTGTATTAAGTTTACACTGAGACGTTCAACCGATGAAATAATTAAAACGAAAATATTTATTTAAGGCAGCAGAAGTTTTCCTCCCTTAATTTTTAAATGAAAACAAATTATTATAGAACTGTCGCAATTGATTATAAAGGGTATGACAATACAAACAATCGACCTATCTTTCACATCTAGATCGTAGCCAAGCTAGGAATTGCCTCATTTTTCTTGATTATTTACTACACTAAAATGGCGCCCAACTGTCAGACATAGCACACTAGTTCCAGTCGGTACGGAGCATTCCGTTTATTTCCGTCAACTCAAGTAACCAGTACCATACGGTACTAAATTATTATAATTAGCTTACAGTTTCCTCCCTTCGGTTTCCGGTGTAAATGTAAACAAAACAACCAAATATAATGCGGGATGGAAGTTTTACGATTTTATTAACCTTTTTTATAGATGCACGATTTTCACGCACATGATTATGAATTGTGCGCGATCTGTGAAATACTAGTGTGAATCGCGCAATCGCGCGTCCTAGAATAGACACTGACTTCTTAATAGGTTTCAATTTCATAATTGATTAAATTCTAATTAGGATATAGTACCGACAAATGTTTAATAATATGAAAAATAAATTAAAGAAAGACAAGATTTGTAAAATCATAAATTGCCAAGGACATCAATAACTTCATGCGAACCCAAATCATTCAATTAGGTCGCGAAAACGTGTCAAATCAACTCAATCATGTGTTTTCATCTCTCATTTAATTCATAAAGTAAATTAAAATAAAATTTTAAGAATAAATAATAATATTTTAGAAAATAATTAGTAAAATAAAGTAAAACATTACGGTAATACCTTCGAAATCCAAATAAATTGCCAATTGTGTTGTTTTCAAATTTTTCTAAACAGCGCCACCATTTGCACGAACGATAATCATAGACCCCAACAAACAAAATCATAGACCGCAACAATTACTTCCCCTGACCAGCTTTATTCTATAAACGGGGTTTTGACTAATATCAAATTATTAATTAATATTATTCATAAAGAACTAAAAAATAAAACAACAAACAACAAAACAATTAACTAACATTTAAAGCGTTAATATAAACTGAAAAATTATTTCCAACTTTATTTGTTTAAGCGCTAATTTTGAATATACGGAAAAAGATTGTAACGCAAATTTTCCTGACAAAAATCACTTACAGACTAATTCAATAAAGGAATAATAACACAAAATTAGTGGTATAAAGTTTTATATAATGATTAAACTAAATGTAAAACTTCGACCATAAACAACGTTGAATCAACGTTGTATATACATTGGCAATATATCCGTATGGTCTTCCATAGTTGAATATTGGTTGAACAACGTCACGACCATATTTCAACGTTGAAACAAAGTCGAGTGCCTGCTGGGTATTATTTATAGGACTACAAAAGAGATGAACTAAGAAAAGGCAGAGCTTATTTCATATTTGTTCAACAAAAACGGTATTTTTACTTATCACCATGAATTTTTGAAATATATAATATATAAACGAAACACCATTTTTGTCATTAAACTGTTGAATTATCGATCTAAATTTCACACCAGAAGTTCAGTTAGTCAGCTGGTCATGTCAATATTATAGACAAATACACTGGCAAAGGGGTTTCATGTATAAAAATAAGTACGCCTACTTAAACATTTAGCTTCGATGAACCCATCTACAGGCACGTTGAAAAATGCACTGCCCAGGAAGCAGAGCAATTCGTCGTAAACCCATTCTGACTTTTTCCCTGACATTTCGGCTTCCCAAATATCCAGGAAGTTTACAATCGTTCGACTTCCTGTGACTGCGTTTTATAAACATTATCGTGAAAGTCATAAAATCGTAGGTTGCTGACCACTAAATGTCTCACTCGATTGGTCAATGACGACAAACAACAACAACAACAACAACTTTTATTAGCAAATATCGACAAAAACTTGCAAACACACATAATAGACAACTACAAGCATTTTCGTGAAAATGAAATTGTATACAGTATACTGTAATGTTGACATTCCTTTTCTCTTGAGCCAAGCATTTTTTTCCAGATCATCTAACTATTGAAATCATGATTCAGATCGATCTTTAAGAGATAAGACGCAATATATAGGGTAAAACAAAACAATAATTTTATTGAAATAATTATGATAATTAATAATACATAATTATATTGGTCCGATATCATATTAGATCTATGTAAATAACATTCATTATGCTAAGAATTATTGCTAACATTTGCTTTGTCCTGTACATCAATTACTTTTAGAAATATAAAAAGCCTAATATGCATAACACTTAATCACGGATTTATACATGTATATAAATCCGTGACTTAACGTAATTTAATTAATTTATATCAATATTTTTATTGTTATTCAAAACATGCACACTGATCATATAAAGTACAATCATAAAGACGAAACTCCATCATGGAAAGGATTTGTTTTCCAATCCATATGCATATACATATATATTGTGATGTAAAATGATACATGTTACATGTAAATTTGCTAAACAAAATATGTTCAGACTAATACACAATCTTCTATCGTTTTCATCGTTTTCAAAATCAGCTAAATTTTAATCAGATTTGAATATTTTGTTGTAGTTTTTTTAAACTTCCATATATGGCGTTATAACACTTAGTTTTAACTCATTTGCCGTTATTTTGATGATTTGCCATATTACTGATTATCCTCGTATAGCTGGAAGAAGTGCATTTTCTATATATGGGGATATATTATGTCAAAATATCGGCAAATAGGCTGCAACCAACTCATTTTTGACAGTGCATTTAGATCTAGGAAAAGTAATTTGATGTCGGCCATGAAATTTTATTGCATGGATGTTAAAACTTTATTAATTAATTTTTATGTTAAAAGATCAATGTACATCTTTTAAACTCTTATTTCTCATTTTTAACCCCTGGTTCGTTAGTTTTTTCCCTGTGCCTTTAATATTCCATATATTTATGAAATGGCTTGATTTATTAAACTGACCTATTATATTTTGGTCCATATATATTCAGTGACAAACGTTGAATTGTTTGTAGAACGAATTTATACCATACACATAATTATACAAAAATAGTCAATGACAGCAGATACTTTTGTTACAGTTGTAATATAACGTTTCATGATAATAATAATAATAATGATTAGAAGAAGAAGAAGAAGAAAAATAATAAACTCAAGGACACAAATATATAGCTCATCATTTCTTCCTTCTGTAATAAGAGAATGGAACTTACTACCTGTAGATACAAGAAACTCATCTTCTGTTGCTGCCTTTAAAAAGTGCCTTAATAAAAAACAAAACAAAAGCCTCCCCTTTATTTAATGTAGGAAGTCGTATAGGCCAAATATTGCACACACGTCTTCGTTTAGATTGTAGCTCCCTGAACTTTGACCTTCATAGAAAGTCTATTATCCAGTCTCCATTATGTCTATGTGGCGAAATAGAGACCGTGCATCACTTTTTCTTTTCATGCCCTCGTTATGATATCATCAGAAGCATTTATTTACGCCCCCTTCCATGTCCTCTGACACTTTACAATCTCTTGTACGGAGACGAGCGCCTGAGCTTTGACACGAACGAAAATATAATTCTTAAAGTACAGCAGTTATCCTAGCTCCCAAACGTTTTACTACCTAATATCAACTTTTTTCTGTCCATCACTTCCCGATAATATTGTGTGCAGACATATATTTTCTATTCTTTATCTAAATTCAAAACTTCATTTAAATATTTTAGTCTCTTTTTTTTCGAAACATTCTAAACAAAATCATTTGAAAAAACTTACTTAAATTGAATACTAGTTAAAAACAATATTTTACTTTGTAATAGAAATTGTTTGGAGTAATCTCCTAATATTATGAAACAATCTTGAAACAGAAGTTCTCTTATTCTACTACTCTAGATAATAATGTTCTTACAAATTCATTCATTTTAATTATTTATCTGATTTCCCTTTTCTGTATTATTCTAACCAAATATGTGCATATTTTTTCATTGCAAGTACGTTATGTGTAAGTCACATTTGACTTGTTTTCCAATCCACGAAATATATCAGTGTGATTGTATATGTTTACTCTATATATTTATGTTGTAAAATAGAAATAAAATATTGTTTAAACTAATAATAATAATAATAATAATAATAATAATAATAATAATAATAATAATAATAATAATAATAATAATAATAAGAAGAAGAAGAAGAAGAAGAAGAAGACGAAGAAGAAGAAGAAGAAGAACAACAACAACAACAATAACAATAGAAGGACCTTGTCGACGATGCGCTGAAATTTATTCTCAACTTCTTGGCCCGTTCCACCATGGTAATCTTTGTAAAATAGACGAAGTGTACCGATTGCTGAACCTATAGAAAACGATCGAATTTCATTGGCTGACTAAACTAACTGTTCACAAAAACACGAACATGATTTATACAATAATCATGAAGTTAGTGATATATATATTCCGTAAATATTTGATTGAGGCCCCGACACATGAATAATCAAGGAAATTACGCGCTTATTATAATTGTTACCACGATTCCTTCACCCATAGGGAATTGCAGGGACATTGCCTTTGGGTTTGTGTAAACAGTATACATGATGTTCAAATCTCCGCTAACAGTCAACAGCACTGCGATTTGGACAAAACATTTGTGTAAAAGCCATTTTGGCGCCAAAACAATAATGCCGCATTGACCGAGCAGTACGGAGACAGACGAAAAGTAGCAAATTAAAGTGGATAAGTCATCGGTCGTAAATAACAGAGGTTTTTATTTGTTTGGGTCGTCAGACCAAACAAATAATGGTAGCGAAATTTCAGACTCTGATGCTGTTAATTGCCAATGCCGAAAGTAGTCCGCTTTCTTGAAGCGGTTACTTCCCTTTATATGTACACTAACGCCGAAAAATTCAGGGGAGATCATTGCGTAAAGATTGTCAAATAACATGTTTATTAATTTTCAAGCAAAATAGTTCCCGAATGGTCGAAGATTTCTAATATTGTTTTATTCTTTATAGATATACATGCTTAGCTAGATTATTTACATCTGTGTTAAACAACAGGTTTAGCGTGGAAATAATAAGAGTTGCAAACCCTAATTTAGAATGATATGGTTTTCTTCAAGCCGTTTACATATATCTTCACCGTGACCGAGGGGTTTTCACGCTCTCTTAGGAATCGAGAGGTCTGGAGTTCAAATCTCAGTTAAGGTCAACTCATTTTTTTTAAAATTGTTGAAGTCAAATAACCATTGAATTGAATATCAGTGTTGCAATTAGTCTTATAGCCAATTTACTACAGTTAAAACACCGGAAAGCATTGGTTGCACTATACAAAAACAAATTGGTTTATAATCACGCAACATTCACCTTTCTGACATTCTGAGACCCAAACAAATTCAGCGCCTTCTGTGCTTTGATTAAATATGTGTACAGCCTTGATATTTAACGACCGAATTGTAAGCAATTCTCTCTACAAGACTGTGATGTCTTGCTTTAAATCTATCTTACTGCACGAACTAGCTAAATATTAATGAAATCCTTTTCAAAGATTTGTTTATTGTGAGCAATAAGTGCCGGCTACTTAATTTGGCAGAAAAGTTGGAATTCATGTTTAAAAAGGTGTCAATAAAAATGAAGTTTTATTACATTGTGTTTATTTGACAAATATGACGGGCCTCGTATTATCACAATCTATTTACAGTTATAATACATGCCTAAAGGGGCTGACTTTGACCTTTCACGAAATTAGTGTGACTAAATATTACTTGTATGCTTCATTCGTGAACTATATATTCAATTGTATTGAACTTTTTTGTCGTTTGTCAGTACATGTTGAATGATCTCAAAGGGTTGTGTCAAAATAAACTTTCTGAACACCGGCGAACCCGCCATTAGAGAACGCTTGTGTGAATCGAAATGGAGAACGCTTGTGTGAATCGAAAATGGTGAAGATACTTCACGTGTGTTTATAAGGAGCACACTTGTTACTTATTGATATAGGATAGTTTCTATTTCAACAAACTCAATTTGATGTGAGAACATGGCGTGTAAACGTGTAATGTGTGAACCATGTTTATATGTTAACATTGAGATTGAAGCAGTAGGATTTTGCTTGACATGTACCGAGTGTTTGTGTTCGAAATGTGTATTTGAACATAGGAAAACGAAAGTAACGCGAAATCACGTGGTTTTTCACGACAGTATTCCTGAGAACGTGAACATTATAAGAGAAATGAATGACATGCTTGTCTGTCCCGTTCATAAAGAGATGAATATAACATACAAATGCAAGGATCACGTGACTTATATGTGTACCGTGTGTCGTGTAGAAACCCACATGAACTGTGAAAATGTATTTGAAATTGCAAAATTTGACAGAGAACTAGAGAACATCCACGAGAGTATTGAAGAACTTGAACGAGCCACAGAATCCTTGAAAGAAAGAAAAACAGAAAGAAAATTTGTTATGCTAAACGATCAAGAAAAAATCATTCAAAAAGCTATTGATGCCCTTGAAGAAGTAAAGAAAAAGTTCAAAAACGAAATAGACAAGCAGGTACAAATTGCAGTGTCTGAAATTAATACAGACATTGCGTCAGTTAAAGTCATCGAGGAGAGTGTTTTGAAAAACATAGGAATTATTAAAACAGCTGTTAAATACGGAGACAGCAAATGCAATAAAGTCATTGGACATAAGATATTAGACAATATTATGGAGCAAAAGAATTTGATTAAAGATATCGACAATCAGGAGGAATATAAGCTTTTGTTTATGAAGAATGAGGAC